TGCTTAACTGCCTTAACATTGATAATATAAGGATGTGATCTTTTAATAAAAATATTAATGATTATTAATAACATTGATTATCTATATTAAATAACATTTTAGTGCATATATAAATTAAATAATTATTCTAATGTTTATATAAACTAATTATTAAAATATTAAATCAATATTATTCATTAAAAAAATCATAAAATAAAAAATATTATTACATTATAATATGAATGATTATTCTAATATATGAGTTAATTAATTTTGTTTCATTAAAAAATAATCATAAAAAAATACTCCGTATTGATTACATTATAATATGAATTATCATTACAATTTTCAATCAAATCGGAATCAATCAGATCAGATCAGATCAGATCAGATCCAATCAGATCAGATCAGAACTTATTAAAATCAGATCAGATCAGAAAAAATAAGTTGAACGGAACGGAGCCTAAATCGAGTATGCCAACGTATAAGCAACATCTAGTTCCTAGAAACTAGAAAGAAATCATCCATTGCACAAATTTTGCTTGATAATTGATATATGTGATATTGTCTTTTGATTCACCCATAGCACAAAAAGATACGCAGTAATGAAAAAAGATAATATGGTAGTGGTAGAGTATTGTATAGAATAAGAAAACAAAGAGCAAAAGAAACGTGGGAGAGTTTGTGCCCATAAATAACTTTGATCGCACCATTTTAACTTCCACGAACACATCCATTTTCTCTCATTAACCCACCCACTCCTCCCTTAAATACACAATTCCCAAATCTTAATTATCATCTCAAACTGTTTTAATTTATTTATTTTTTTCCATTCTTTTTCCGTCGTGGTACGGTGGTGCTAATGGCTACCATTCCTCATTCCTCCATTCTTTTCTTCTCCATCTCTCTATTTGCTCTCGGTAATTATTTTTCTAACTAAATCTTTGTTATTACTAATAATAGAAATTTAATTATGTTAAAATTAATTTTTGCTAACCCAGTCAATAAAATGTTGCAGGAATTACAGTGGTATCGGCAACTGTTTTTACGCTGAATAACGCATGCAGTTACACGGTGTGGCCGGGATCTCTTTCCGGCAACGGAGCCGCCCTCGGCGGCGGAGGCCTTGCACTTGCACCTGGCGAAAGCGTCCAGCTACAAGCCCCTGCCGGGTGGTCGGGCCGCTTCTGGGCTCGAACCGGCTGCAATTTTGACGACAACGGCAACGGGAATTGCGTCACCGGCGACTGCGGCGGCGCACTCCGATGCGTTGGCGGCGGCGTGCCGCCGGTGACTCTGGCCGAGTTCACCATCGGCGGTGGGAATGGGGAGAAGGACTTCTACGACGTCAGCCTCGTTGACGGCTACAACGTCGGCCTCGGAATTCGCCCTTCCGGAGGCTCCGGCGACTGCCAGTACGCCGGCTGCATGTATGACGTCAACGGAAACTGCCCCGGCGAGCTCCAGGTGAGGGATTCCGCCGGTTCGGTCGTGGCGTGCAAGAGCGCGTGCGCACAGTTCGGCACGCCGGAATTTTGCTGCACCGGCGAACACTCGACGCCGGAAACATGCCCGCCGACGGGTTATTCCCGGGTTTTCAAGAACGCTTGCCCGTCCGCTTATAGTTACGCATACGATGACGCTTCGAGCACGTGCACTTGTGCCGGTTCGGACTATGTGATCACCTTCTGTCCTAACAATTGATCATCGATTATTCACCTTGATTTTTTACCATCAATAACCTTAATTCATCTTTTATTGCTCATTTTTGTGAGAATAAATTATTACTCCCTCGATCTTCTCAGACACTATTCACAGGGTCAAACTTTACTCACTTTGTTTGCTCATTTTTATTAGTCATTTCGTAAAATAATATAGTCGTGTAACCTCTAGTTTTGTAGAACTTTTCATGTAGTTTATTACTATATAAATTTTATTTTAAAATTTTACTTCTATAATCAATCAAATTGAATTGAAAATAAAGTCGGTCAAGCCTCGTATTGCGTAATTGGAAGATCTTAGGTGGACGGAGGGAGTACTATATTAGGAGTACTAAATACTGGACAAATACATAAATTGGTTTATTTTTAATTAGTAATCTTCGTCTGATAGCGCTCGTCGATCATATTTATTACTCCCTCCTTATAATAATGTTCTTCCCGATTCTGTTTACGATATTTAACCAACTTTATTTTTAATTCAATTTATTTAACTGTAGGTATAAAATTAAAAATTAAAATTTATATATTAAAAACTATACATCAAAAGTTCTACAAAACAAGTGGTGACAAGACTATATTATTTTATCAAATACCTAATAAAAATATGTAAAGAAAGTGATTAAAATTTGACCGTGTAAAAAGTAAGTGGAAAGAACATTTTAAAACGGGAGAGTATAAACAAACTCAAATTTGATCTTGTATTTCTTTTTTTACGTTAGTCAATAATTTATCATAATTTGGTAGTCATGATATTGATGATTGTTAAATATGGGAGATATATCTCACCTATTTATTAAAAGATCTAGTTTCCATATTCATTCCGATTTTACCTCTCATTACACCAAAAACAATATCAGACGACTGTTGAGTAACCACAGTAGTAAAAAAATAGACTATAGTGAGTTATTCTTGGCTATAGAACAGTAGTCTAGCTATTATACTTTAAAACTATTTTTAAAGTTTCGAGAAGCAGTAATCTATCATTAGTTGTCTGTGTCAGTTCAAAATACAATTTTTGTTACAACAATTGATAATAACAAGTTAAGAATACTCTCTTTAAACAGTAGTCTGATTTTTTAGTCTAGAACTGTTTTTAAACTTATTACAAACAATTATCTATTGTTAGTTATCTATTTCATATTGTTTTTTTACCATGGTTGTTTATAATAGGAATAAAAGACTCTGTTGTAACAGTAGTCTATGAATTAAGGGTAGAACTATTTTTAAAGTTGTGAGAAACGGTAATATATTATTAGTAGTCTATTTCATCTAAAATACAGTTTTTGTTGTCACAGTTGTCAATAATTAGTTAAGACTACTATTTCTTAACAATAGTCTGATTTTTCATTTTATAACTATTTTTTAATTTATAAGAAGTAGTAATCTATTGTTAGTTGTATGTTTCATATGGTTTTTTTAGCACAATTATTTATTATAAGAATAAAAGACTTCCTTGTAACAGTAGTATATTTATATAGTGTAGAACTGTTTTTAAAATTCATAGAAACCGTAATCTATTACAAATTTACAAGTTGTCTGTAATTAATTAAGAATACCCTTTTTAAATAGTAAAATTTGCACTGAATAGGACTAAAACATAAGTCATTTCCTAATGTAGGACTTAAACTTTTTTATTCCCTAAATATGACTTAATAATGAATAGTGAGAAGAATAATGTCCAAGTGATGCTGGACATTTAGTTGAATAATTACTAATAGATAATGACCAATATCCTATATTAAGAAATAAAAACATATGGTCATATATTGATAAAGTCATTATGTTTCAGTCTTATTTAGGTAAAAACATATGGTCAATAGTAGTTAGACTATTAAGCCTAGAACTATTTTCAAAGTTTTGAGAAACCGTAATATATTACTAGTAGTGTGTGCCACAACGTTTTTCTCACGATTATCTATAATAAGTAAAGAAAACTATTTTTAAGAGAATTGTGCGTATTAAGCGTACAACCGTTTTTAAAGTCCTACAAAATAGTAATCTAATACCAATTGTCTGTGAGATATGATTTTTTTGGCAGATTTGTTTATAATAAGTTAAGAGTACCCGTTTTAAATAGTAGTATAGCTCTTAAGCCTAGAACTACACTACAAGGAAAAAGTCTTTTTAATATGAGTACAAACCATGATTAAAGTAAAGAAAACTCTCATTGAAACATTTTAATGAGAGGAAAATTACTCTCATCACCTGTCACTATAGCCTCCGTAGTTAATTATAAATAATGACAGATTTCAAGTTCTCTCATTTAAAAAATTAATGAGAGTACTATGCAATTAACTAGTTCAGTTATCAGTACAGGTAAGGTCTTAATACTCATATTTTTGATAACTAAACTATTGCATAGATCAATACAGAATAGTAGTCTACTGTTCTGTAGCCAAGAATAACTCACAGTAGCCAAGATATTTTTGATAACTGAACTATCTTAGTACTAGTTCAATTAATTACATAGATCAGATTCTTTTAATACTCATATTTTTGGCCGTATAAGATCTTACTGTTAATATATTTCCATCTTACTGGCAATATATTTCTTTTAATATATCACTGGTATATTTACTAGTAACATATTACGGTTTCTCAAAACTTTGAAAATATTTCTAGGCTTAATAGTCTAACTACTATTTAAAAATTGTATTCTTAATTAATTATAGACAACTTGTAAATTTGTAATAATAGATTACAATTTCTATGAATTTTAAAAACAGTTCTACACTGTATAAATATATGTACTACTGTTACAAGGGAGTTCTATTCTTATAATAAATAATTGTGCAAAAAAACCATATGAAACATACAACTAACAATAGATTACTACTTCTTATAAGTTAAAAAATAGTTATAAACTAAAAAATAAGACTATTGTTAAGAAATAATAGTCTTAACTAATTATTGACAACTGTGGCAACAAAAACTGTATTTTTAGATGAAATAGACTACAAATAATAGATTAGCGTTTCTCACAACTCTAAAAACAGTTCTACCTTTATTTCATAGACTACTGTTACAAGAGAGTTTTCTATTCCTATTATAAACAACCATGGTAAAAAACCATATGAAACAGATAACTAATAATAGATAATTGTTTCTAATAAGTTTAAAAACAATTCTAGACTAAAAACCAAACTACTTTTTAAACAGAGTATTCTTAACTTGTTAATATCAATTGTTGTAACAAAAACTGTATTTTGAACTGACAAAGACAACTAATGATAGATTACCGTTTCTCGAAATTTTAAAAATAGTTTTAAAGTATAATAGCTAGACTACTATTCCGATCTGTAGCCAAGAATAACTCACAGTAGTCTATTTTTTACTACTGTGTTTCCATAAACAGTAGTTAATCAACAGTCATCTGATACTATTTTTGGCGTAGTGATATATACCCCGAGCTAGGTGTGTGGGACCCATTTGAGCTTACCCGGGCTGTGAGGCCTGATCCGGGGTCTAATACCAGTGTGACATGGGATTACCTTCCGTCAATTTTAATTTTCTCAATGTAGTACCACTGTACATTATTCAGGTGAATGTCTATCGCCACGCGAATGGTTAAAGTAAATACTCATCGCCACATAAATTGTTCTTGCCACTGGACATACATTGTTCAAGTACTACTTTTTGAAGAATAAAAAGTTTTAGGTAATATATTAAAAAAATGTATACTCCCTCCGTCTCATAAACTCTTTCTCCTTTCTTTCTTTTTTCTTTGTTTCACAAAGTCCTTGAAATTCCTACTAAAAACCTACTTTTACCACAACCTAATTCTTACACTATCTATCACATCATACCTTTTGAATAATAATTTATTCATGACATTCTACTTTTAGCCATCACATCAAAGATATTTTTGGAAACTCAATACAAAAATGTTCATATCTTAATTCTTTTAAAAGTCAAAATGGGAAGGACTTTAAGGAATGGAGGAAGTATCTTTTAGTACTCCCATCATGCTAAAATGATCTTCCCAGTTCGATTTAAAAGGTTTGACTGAAATTATTTTCAATTCAATTTATTTCATTATAGGTGTAAAATTAAAAATTAAAAATTTTATATTTTAAAACTACATCAAAAGGTCTATAAAATAAGAGATGACATGACTATATTATTTTATCAAATAATTAACGAAAATAAGCAAAAAAATGAATATAATTTGATTATGTGAATAGTATTTAGAAAGATCATTTTAATGAAAGTTTCACGACCCTCAGTGCACAATCAGTAAAGTCTAAAGCTCTGCAGGTTGTTATGAAGGATGTTATAGCACTGGTACAAACTAAGTTGTCAGACAGAGTGCTATAACAACCTCTCTACCGCCTAAGCAAACAATTGAGAACAGAAAAGAAAAATACACAACACACAAATTGTTTACACGATTCGGAGAAAATTCTCCTACGTCTACGAGGCCCACGTCAGTGTAACAGCCTTCCCACTATATCAAATCAGAGTTTACACCCTCAATGTCAATAGACTCGATCTACTCATTGATCTAAACTCTATAACACAATGGGAATGCTACAAACTCAGTTTGTGCATGCATGCCAAGACTTAAACACTTGTAAACTTATCTGTGACGTGTCCCTCGCCTACACTCATGTACTTCTTAATTCAACTATCTAGAACGCATGTTAATCTTCCAGCAGAAACATTCTTCTGCAATCCATCGGTGATCAATCCTTCGATTACTTGCCTGTAGTATTTTTGCTATGTGAAACTTTCTCTCGCTGATTCTCTCAATATTTTTCACACCTCTACATTAGCAGGCCATCCTTTATTTATACTCTTCTAAGGCAAGATCAATCCTAGTAGAGTCCTTGTACAACTCTTACTAAGATGCATAGTTATGCAGTAGAGTCCTTGATGTAATTGCTCTCCAGTTTCGCACGTGTCCATACTTCAACAAGAGGTAGAGTTTGTGGTGGAAATCTCTTTCATTAGGTAGCGGCTAAGTTCAGAATCCTACTTTGGCTTGGTAAGAGTCGGTCCCAGATCCACTTGAACTATAAGAGTGACGGGCAGGATGCTACAGCTCTATGAGCCACACAGCTTGGACAAGAAATACTCTAAACTACGACACATGGTTTTTGTCAAAAATAAAGCCAACACTAAAATGAGACAAAGAACACTGCAAGAGAACCAACATTTAAGACGCGAG